GTTTAAAAATAGGACTTTTTTAGCATAATTTATATTTGCGTTATGTTGAGATAAAAATTCATTGCCTAATATAATTGAACTACTTAAATTTTCTATAACGCACACTGGTATTTGATAAAATTTATTTTCTATTTCTAATTTAATTGTGGTTGTTCCCAATAAATTTAATGGTGATTTATCTGCACCGGATAATTTATAATTGTGATTTTTATTTATATTAGATGAATCTATGAGGTCAGGTCTTATACAATTTATATTTGCACCTGAATCTATTGTGACTTCTATTGGTTCGTTATTTAATTTAGCTAAAATATATAATGCATTAGCTTTTCTATCGCGATTTAGAATTATAAAAATGTTGTTTGTGTCACTGTTAGTACTTTTATTTGGAATTGGAGAAGAAGGTGAATGCATATAATCTCCAATTATTGCATTTGACCTTGGCGCGTGTTTTTTTGGTAGTTAGAATTTTTGTTGATATAACAATTCTCTCTTGTATGATATCGTTTATTACATAAATCACAGATCAAGTTGCAATTTTCCGATTTGTGATTATTGCGATTACAATATATACAATTATTCTTTCGCTCATATGTATTTCTGGGACTATAATTATTATTGTAATTTCTATTAGCATATTGCGTATTATTTTGTTGATAATTATTTGCGCGAGTATCGTTATAATTTTGGCGTGAATAAAATATTGGACGTAAATAATTATTTCCCGAACGTAAATTGTTGTTGTTTCGACGCGTATTATAGTATTCTTGCCGCGTGCCATTAAATAAACGTTTGCTGTTGTCGGTGTTATCATTATTGTTTTTTGTAATAAAAAACTGAAGTTTAGAAATTTGTGAAGTTATATTATCTAACTGTTGTTGCATTTTATTTTGCTCACCGATTTGATAAATATTTTCGCTAGTTTTTCGCTGTTTTATATCGTCTTTCGATTGTATAGTATCCCCTTGTAACATAAATTCAACGGATTCGTATTTTCTTATATTAGCTTTTAAATCTTTTAAACTATTGTTATCTAATATACCGACATATCGAGCTATTTTTGGATGTAAACCTTCATTATATTATGTACTAACTCAGATTGTGATATTTTAGGATCTACGCGCTTACATAATTTTTCAGTGTCATTAATGAAAGAGGCAATGGACTCATCTGGGAGTTGTTTACGTTTAGAGAGCATAATTCTAAGCATGTGATTTTGTGCAGTGGGTTCAAATTCAATACGCATGGCGTTTTCTAGGTCAGGCCATTTTACTGAGGGGTTTTCCCTTTCAAAATTTAACGGTATCGGTTAAATAAATAGCTAAGAATGACTTCTTTTGATCGGGTGACCAATTATTTATATCGCTAGCTCTGTTGTTATACTTAGTTAAAAAGACATCCATGCTTTCGTGAATCGCGCCAGAAAATTTGTCAGGTTNGCATCCACGCTTTCGTGAATCGCGCCAGAAAATTTGTCAGGTTGACAAAATGGAATTCGCTCGTTCATGTTTTTGGGAGGTTGATGATTAACTTCAAAATCAGATTCTATAAACTCGCCTAAAAGGAAACGTTGGAGTCTGTCTTTAAGAATAGTTATTGAACCGTCGATTCTTAATTTTCTTTTAGTTAATTCTTCTACTATTGAATGATATGGGGCTTTTTTTATCCACAAAGCTAAATTTTGAGTGTATTGAACAATTTTATCCAAATCAGTAGAGGATTCTTCCATTTATTACATTAATTAATATAAATAAATATATGAATGTATTTTTGTAATTAATTAAATTAGAAGTAATATAACACAGTTTTATAATTAAGTATTGTTTAAAAAAAAGAAATGATAGTAAAAAAAATAAAAGTNAAAAAAAAGAAATGATAGTAATAAAAATAAAAGTTATATAAAATTTTGTATTAAGTAAATTATTGGGAATAAAATTATTTTTTAACTGTTTCAGGATTTACGCATGAAATATTTTCGTCATTAAATAAAATTTGTGAAATTTGATATGATGAATGTTTAAATAAATAATCAAGTATTAATGTGAGATGAGTTAAAGTAATACTTTCTGTAATAGATTGTGCGATTATCTATAAAAGTTTTTATAAATTTTTGAATAAANTTGTGCGATTATCTATAAAAGTGTTTATAAATTTTTGAATAAGTAACGTATTTTGTACGTTTATGTTAAGGCGAAGAGTAGAAACCCAAAGTATATCTGCTAGATATATCATTAAATGATGATGAGTTGAAATTGTTCTGTTTTTTATTTGAAAAATTACTATGCCGATCATATATTTTACTACCGATATAAGAGTTTGTTTCGTTAAATCTGACATTTGTAATGTATATTATATTACAAAAATTAGGAACATTGAAGAAAAATATTGTAATGATCTCGGTATTTGGGAAGTAGATTCAAAGCCACGAGTTGGTCGCCACTTTGTAATAAAAATAAAATAAGGGGAGGCGATAAGATAGAGATAGTAGGAAAGGGATTATAAGTTATTTGGATTGTATTAGATTCATTCATATCATCTTAATCCTACCTCTTATCCACTCTGTCCTATTTCTTAATATTACATGAATATAGTGCATGTCTTAAGACTACACTTACCTTGATGTCCAAATGGATTCGTAGATAGATGGTGAATTGTGATGTTCCTTGTTGACGTCGATATTTTAAGTTAATTTAAATAAATAAAAATACAGATATGAGTGGCAACATACTGAGTTTATTTCTATAACTTGTATTAATTATTTTGACAAATATATATAAGTCTTATAATTAAAATTAACAAAAGTAACGTGAATTTTACATTATTAACTTTTAATATGAAAGTGTAAGATTATGGGGGAATAATAAGTGAAAATGAAAGTGAGAGTATGTGAGAGAGATAAAATGGAAAGAGAGTGTCTGTGCTAATTTTACTAGCCCTTTTATATTAAATTAGTTGGTAAAGTAATGAAGGGAGGCTAGTTTTTCTTAAAAATTTAACTATTTAATCTTGCCGTCTGTTCGGCGCCACAAATACGCTTATGATAATTAAAAAGATGGACATTAATGTAAACATCGCTCCAAATGAACGATGTATTTGTAAAAAGTAATAAAATAATAGTCAGTCAGAAAAGTATTTAAAATTGATAATTATTTGTGTAAAGATTATTCTAGAAGTTTCTCGGATAGTCTAGAAACTTCTATTTTGATTCATTACAGCATCAAGGGATTGGGATACCTCAGTGCCGGCGGTTGGTGGGGAGCGTACCCACCAGGTGTCGTTATCAAACAAATACGTGCTAAATACAGGAGTCTTGAGGCAGGCTCCTGGAGCCAACCACGGGGTTGGTACTGCGACTGCAGGGAGTGGTGGTGACCAAGCCACTCCCACTGTTGAATAGCCGGGAGGGTGTTGGTAACGAAATTCTTGGAGTATATGGATTCTCTGGACTGATTACGGTGACGGCCACACCCTCAGATGCAACAGCGAAGCCCTCATTTTGGAAAAGTTGCGTGATGCTTCCAAGGGGTGGTTTGGTAAGAGTGGGACCTTCGGGTTCGACTTCGGAGCGGGTTGGTGTGGTGGATGGGTTTGGTGACGACGATTACCTCCGTTCTAAAAGGAAGGAGATCTCTTTAACAGTTAGTCCACTCACCATCACCTTGGAGGACACTCCGTCTAGCCCGGCCGTGCTCAAGCCGAGGACGCCTCCATAGGTACTAGCCAAAAAGCCTAAGCTAGTGCTCCTGATAGCAGTTGACCTGTTCAACGGTGACGGGACACCAAAAAAGATGATTTGTAGGGCCGAAGAGGTGTTGTCGGCGGGGCTAGACCTCTCTATGGAGCAGACGGGGCAGCTCTCCAATGTGCTGGAGGTCTATTGTTTACACAGGCGAGTGGTGAAGATGGATTATCGAAAACGTAAGGGCCTTGTCTGATCTCCACCTCACACACTCACCCTGTGGGGGTCCCTCATACTTACGCCGGAGAGCCCGATTTGCCTCAAGTGTGTCTCAGACGGATTACTGGTGGGACAAGTACGGCCTACCATCTAAGACCGTCGGGGACACAGCTTCCCCCCTCCGAGGTGGTGAGGTGGCAGTGGGTGCTCTCCCGCTTGTCCCCACTTTTAAAAAGGGGAGGGACAAGAGGAGGAAAAATAAGGAGCGGGTGGCAAAGGATGCTGGATGTTCGATCACGGACACCACGTCGCCTTTGCCATTCAACGTCGCGGCCCACCAGCCGGCGATAACTCTTGCCATCTTGTGGACAGAGGTGTTGAAACGGAAAGGGGCCAGAAAAGTAGAGCGGGTGACGACTGCTCCCAAGGTGGAGGTCCTCAGGGGGCCCAAAGCCAAGCCATCGCCACAGTCTCGATGCTCGATTTCCGCCCAGCTTCGGGCCAAAGTCCGTAGGACAGTGACGGTGGTGATTGGGCCACTCAGGGAGGGTCAACAGTACGCCACGGTCATAAAGACCGCGATGGCTGCCGTTGACTTCAAAGCCTAGAGGGTTCAATTGACCGATACCAGGAGGTCCTTTTGGAGGTCTGTGGCTTAGGCGCCCAGATTGACAGCTTGAAGGGCGCCTTGAAGGAGCATGACGTGTGGGTCCATCGTCCGGTGATGACCATGCCCGTCATGTTCCTCAATTTGGAGGAATGGACGAAGGAGTGCGATGTGCAGAATGCACTACTGGACGTCCTCCGCCGTCCAGAAAACAAGGTGTCGCCGGAAATCGGGTCCGTAGTAGTCCGAGCTAATTCCGGCGGCAAAGGGAGATATGCCCAGATGGAGGTATCAAGCCTAGCCAGCTTGCTACCCGCCTTGCAGGTCTCGACCGTATACGTGTGGGAACGTTCACTTGTCGCCTGAGAATCCTTGGAGACAAAGGTCCGAGGTACGAATCCCCTGACCCCAAGGGAGACGATGAGGTCGGCCCGCAAAGAGCTGAAGCTCGCTATCAGGCGAGCCAAAGCGAAGTGCTGGGCCGAACTTGTGAAGTTGGTGGACCAAGACCCATGGGGAAATCCCTATCGGGTCGTAATGCGGAAGCTTTTAGGTCTAAGGTCTTTGTCTTATATGTCTACCAAAAGAAACCCAGTGAATTGTACTTCCCGTGGTGTTTCACCGACTATATTGACCAGTCTCAATTTATATTCACATGGCCTTGAGTTTTTGTACTTGCCTGTAGAATAATAGATATGTTTGGATCTTCCTACAGCGCAACCAGACTTAATTAAACCAGTTGGGTTTCAACTGATTTTCAAAATTTTAAATTAGAATTTTTTAGAGTTATCACAAGCCCATTTAGAGGTTTTTGAATACTACTCTAGGTAGGAATATAAAGTGACTCCTTCCCACCATGGAGTGTATTGAAACGGAGCTAATAATAAGTATTCGTGGTATTATTGATATAAAAGAATATTTATTCACAATAACCTTTTATATTAATAAATAAACTGCACTATATTTTTTTATCATTTTCTATATTCTTATAAACCCTTGTAATCATATTCTGGGAGATATTACAAAAAAAAAAAAAATTTCATAGATCGCATCGTTTTATTATGTTAGTGATATTACATACTGTCAGAGATATCTGACTTCCTTGGTGTTTGGTTAATACAGAACATCAAGTCAATTAGCACTGTTAATTTTGGTATTTATTGTAACAGTGAATTATGGTGAAATAAAATTTTTAAAATATCAACTATTTAATTTGTTATAGTAAAAAATCCATAAATACAGTTTAAAATACTAATAATAATTGTAACATAAAATGCAATTATAATAATTTAAGAAATGTTATAATTTTAGTTAGGTATGAGCTTTTTTTTTATATCATAATTAAACATTGATAACACGTTAAAATATTTAATTTTTGTAACAAAAAATAGATTTTATTTTAATAAAATTAATTAAATTAACTTTCAATTTTTAATTTTTATCAATTAATATATAAATTACAGTTACAGTATTTATATTAACATTCACAATTTCCTTTATGTATACATAATAATCATGCAACATGTCATACATAGTAGAACATTCATCCTTTTAACTGTATAATATATACTTATATACTATAATATAACATGTTGAATAAGTGAGAAAACAGATTTATATTGTTATCCTTGTTTGAACAAATTGTCATGTTTTCATACATATTGAACAACCTATATATTTAATTTATAAGTCAATGAACATAATTGACAAGATTGATTGTTGTATTATAAATCATTAGGAAATTTAATTATTTTTTAATATTAAAAAAACGAATTGTTTGAGAAAACAGAATGTTTTAGTAATTGAATAGTAATATTTAAATAAATTAACTATTTATATCGGTTCTGTTAGACATTTATATTACGATAAAAGCTGTGCTAGCTAGGTAACTTTTATTTTATGTTCAGTGACATTTTTTAGCATACCTATCGAATTTAAACCATATCAACTTTTTGTCAGAGACTCAGATTCGACTATAATAGTACTGTGTATCTATTAAAAACATGAATTTTTGAATATAACTATTGGAAATACTACAAATTTTAAAGATAAAATTAATTTCTGTATTTTTATATATTAATGTATAATTATTATATACCTATTTATTATAATATATATACCTTAATTTTTATGTATAGAATAGATATGTAATTTTTGTTAAACTATTGCTTACTTATTTTTTTTATGTAACTTATAAATGATTTTATCACATCTAAATCAATATTTTTGGTATTTAGTATAATATTTTTAAGAAACATTTTTGCATTGAGTAAACTGTAATAATCTACAGTTTTAAGTTCATCGTGATTATGAGGTGGTTTGTTTGCTACGTTAGGCTGTTCCTGACCAAACAAAAACAATGGCTCTATTGCATAACATTCCAAAGGAACACAAATATCGGTCAGAATAATTTTCAATTCGGATTCTAATTTTAAATAACACTGTTCTTTATAATTTGGAAACTCATCTTCATCTACTGAGCCGTCTCTATTTTTTGGAATATAACTAATGAATTCATTGATACTTAATGTAATTTCAACAATATCAGAATCATTTTCTATACATGTAAGCTGAGAAAAATCATTCAATATTAATAACCATTCTTTTGTAAGATATTCTACGACATTGATATTTTGGTGTTGAAGGTACAAAAAATGTTTCCAAGTCAACCTTAACATAATGACCTTAAAGAAGTTAAAGAACACTACATAATAATCTATAATGGATTTAAAATTTCCATCTGACCAGTCAAGTGAAATAGCATTTTGTAACATGTTTTGAAAATTTCTTGCCATTTCATTGCTCCAATTAACTTGTACATAGAAAGAATATTGGAAAAAAATTATACTATTTATACGCGATGCAAATTTTTTGATAAATATGTTTTTTTTATTAAATTTTTGTAAATTATCTAAATTTAGTAATTTAGGACTATTTCTGTTTTTTATGAATGTTAATATATGTTCTATATTATTATACATATTTGAATCTAAAATTTTCATGGATTCTGTATTTTGATGTTCAAACTCCAATATATCATTATTGAATACATTATTCGTATCACAGTTTATGGCATCTTGTTGTAAAATTTTCAGAACATAATCATGAGTGTCTTCAATAGTTTTATACCGGTTATCATCTCTATCTATATCTAGTATATTATTGGAGGTAGTTGATNTCTCTATCTATATCTAGTATATTATTGGAGTTAGTTGAAAGTCCAAGTATGCTACTTAAATAAAGATTTAATAGCCACAAGGATCCAATATTCATTTTATTTTTTTCATATAATGTACTTATTTGTTTAATGACAATTTCGGCATATCTACTTACGTTGACTATTGCGGTTATCAAATTTAAATCTGTATTTTTTAACATTAGTTGAGTTATTTTCATGTGAGTTAAAGCACTAAATAAGTAAGAGCATTTTAGATATTTAGTCTCCTTAGTTGAACTTGAATTAACTGAATCGGCTGTTATAGCATATATTAAAATACAAAAAACTAGTAAGTATAACTCAATTATAAAAAAGATCTTAAAATTTAACATTTTTTCGAACTTTTGAAATAGTTTACGTTATTTTACTTAAAATGGCTACATATGATTATATTTATAAATATATATGTATTTACTTTTATTAAACATGTGCATAAATATTTAAATTTGCAAATATTGATAGTATCTCTCTTGTTGTACTGTTTATTTAACTAAAAATAAACTAATCAAATAACTTTAAGTAGATTTTAGCACATTAATTTAATATTTTAAATAACAGTCAATTTTATTTTGAAAAATACAATTTTGATACCTTTATGATAAACGTGTATTAATATTGCAAGCAATGCTGTGCAAGTTTATTGCTTCTTTTTAACTAGTTAAAAACTAATCTTATTTGTCCCAATTATGTTAAACTAATCTAGTTAGTTTTACACAGGTTAGACAAGTATAGATTTAGCTGTTATTTGCAAATAAATTGAGTGGCTAGAATTTAAAACAAGTACTATGTATAGTATGAATGACTTGAATATATTAAACATTATGATATTATTATAAATATAAAAATATCTATGGTACACCACAGATTATTTGATAAATTAACTAGTATAGATGATGTCTGACAGTGATTGAAATCACTATCATAAGAAACGCTTCGATGCAATTCTGTAGATAATGTGTCATTTAAAAAAATTGATGGATTATTCCACAAGATACATCAACTCATATTTTTAATTACTTCTAAATTACAAGTTTTATGTTAGCTTCGATGCAAAGCGGAGAAGGTATTAATTTTACTATGATGTGTTTTTTTTTTTTTATGTCTGTTGCCACTTTTTCTCAGCTCTCACTGGACCAATTTCTTTCAAAAATACTGTCAAAAGATCACAAATCGTGTTTAGTTGAAGACATTATCAAAAAAATTACAAATTTAAAAATCGCTAATTTTCGAAATTTTTTCACTTTTTTTTTCTTAAAACTTCTATAACTTTTTCAAAAATCAACATAATTTTTTTTTATACTAAAACCTTAGATATTTACCTTTCATTTGATATCATTTTTTTGAAAATTTATCACTTAACCTGCTCATTAGGGGGGATTTAAAATATCAACTTTTTTACAAAAATTTACTTTTTAAACTTAATTTTTGAAAATGTTCCGGAAATACTGCGTCCTTTAAACATATATCAAATTAAAGCTTATTTTATGTAATATAAAATGAAAAAAAAAAATTTGTCCCGACGACCTATCTTCTATGCGCAAATGGTTATCATATTCAAAAATGTGCTATTTTAACAAATTTTTTTTTTAAATTAAAGACTATCTACAGATTTGCATCGAAGCGTTTTTTATGATAGTGATTTTAGTCACTGTCAGATATCATCTATAATGAACCCAACTATGACACGACCCCACTGTGCCGCCACCCCACTGTGCTGGGTTTTTTAATTCTATTTGTGTATGCTACTACCAGTCTATAATATTCCGAATTTGTTTGTAATATGTTGCTATATAAATCATAAATTAACAAAAAAAAATGATTTTTTTATAAGTAAAATACATGAATAAATACAAAATCTAAAAATTAAATATAGTATGAAATTGATATTCAATATTTCATCATGTTATGTTAACTAATTTATAATTTAAAAAATGATCTAAACAAGAAAATTTGTATGTAAATGTCGAAAACAAAAGTAAAGCTCATAAGTCCCTATTTATTAACATTTTATGTGTATTTTGCTGTATTCCCGTATAATTTTTAGTATTAATAATATTTTTAGTGTTACTAAATCCTATTAGATATAGTAAAATTAATTTTGAGTATCATATCTTCTCTAGAATAATGTGATTAATGCTGTAGCACATTGTATAAATTTTAATATCTCACACAAATTATGATTATTTTAAAATTTGTTTTTGTAATTAACTGATGTTGTATTGTATCATGAAAGAATCGTACTGTGGAACGTTTCTTTCGTGGTACAAACCAATAGTTGCACTAACTTTTAACTATTTCATAGTTAAATATTAAACAAATTTGCAATTTTGATGTATTAAAAAATAAAATAGTATAACTAAGTTTAAGTGCATAGGGTGTTGTAAGACACATTTATTACTATGTTCTTACCACTTATATTACACACGTTTTATTTCTATTTATTTAATTCGTAATACATATTAATTAGCATAGAGGGAGATGCTGATGTGACAATTCTACTCGTCTGTAGCCCGGAGCTACTGACGTCGAACTAACAAAGGGCAGTTGTGTTTGAGTGGCCGTTATAGACATAGTTTTCAATATTATTACTTACGTCTTATTTATATTATTTATAACTTAACTTGTTTTATTCAACGACCCGTCTATCGCCAATTGTCATCATAGCCAACCAACTCCGTCTCACTTGCATATACCTACTAACCAACTGTACTAGGATTCAGGTCAGACGTATTGTACATTACATATAACTTATATTTACTGAACATCTAAATATAACCTTACTTTGTCGTTGACATAAAACAATAGTCTAATTTATTTTAATAATCTATCCCCTGTAACTAAGGTACACGATTGCCTGTGTCTCCTTCAGGCAATTAAAACTCATTTAAGGAGATAGCGACGATATTTGGACAGACGTCGGGTAGCTTCCGATTCTTGGTTTTGACCAAGGTCCTCAACTATTAAACAAGCCCCTAACAGTGTAATTGCATAGGGTAATACATTGTCATTGACAAGGTATATAAACTTTTATTGAAGTTTACCACCTCTAACTAGGAAACAAAATTTTAACGAAAACAGTGTTTATATTATTAATTAACTAGTTTGCGTTTAAACATTGTTTCTTGAGTATAAACCGACATCATAAAGGGAAATAGTTCGATTTAAAAAAAGTATATCAAATGAAAAGGATATACATAAAGTATTTATAAAATAAAATAAAATTGATCCATAAATACATAAGTTACAATTAAACGAATATTGGTATCTTGGAGTATGTCTGGAACATTTTTAACTAGTAACTTTTTATGCTTAAGATATATGATTATATGATCTCATATCCTGCATTGTTGGTAGGTAAAGGGTTTGATTTTCGAAATTTATTTTAATATATTTATTTAAAGTATATAATAGCTAATTTAAAAATTAATATTTACTAACATTGTATAGTACTTTTATATTTGATGGGACGCTGAGAAAGTATTAATTTTACTATGATGTGTTTTTTTTTTTGTCTGCTACCACTTTTTCTCAGTTCTCACCGAACCGATATCTTTCAACAATACAAAATGTTTACATAAATTAAATTTAAATCATCCATTGCTTTATCGAAATAACATCAATAATAGAATATATATTTATATATATTGTATTATAACTCTATATTGAAGCAATCGTGTTATTTATAGAACACGCTACATATATTTTAGCTTCGATGCGAAGCTGAGAAGGTATTAATTTTACTATGATGTGTTTTTTTTTTTATTTATTTATTTTTTTTTGTGTCTGTATACGCTCAATCTCACCTCTCGCTGGACCGATTTTGATGAACAATATGTCAAAAGATCACAAATCGTATCTAGTCGAAGACATTACCCTCAAAAATTGAAAAAAAATCCCTCGTTCGCCGTAAACAGGCGAAAACCCCCAAAAAATTACAAATTTAAAAATCGCCAATTTTCGACATTTTTTCAATTTTTAGCTTCGATGCGAAGCTGAGAAGGTATTAATTTTACCATGATGTGTTTATTTTTTT